CGGGAGTCCCTTGTGTGTGTGGGGGGCGAAGGGGCGTCCCGCGTGTACGTGTACGTGGCGCGAGTGGAGTCTGCGTGCAAGGGTTGGCATCTTGGGTGCCGTGGCAAGGAGGCCCGGGCCCATCCTCTGGAGAGGGTTTGTGCTGCGTGGGCGGGGAGGGTGGCGGCCTTGGGTGGTTTGATGGCCCTCTCACGTGAGAGGACCTGTGACACGCTTGGGGAGTGGGGTGGGTTTATGCATTGGTCCCTCAGGGACTGTGGCTGTGCCCGTGGGACACCGGGCCGGGTGTGTTCACCTCAGGCAGGGGCTGTCTTGTGGCCGTGGGGGTGGGTTCTGGCTCGCTGGCTGCATCTGTGTATGCGTGGGGGCTATGGGACGCTGGCGTGGCCCATCTGGACCTGAACAAAAATAATCCGTGGCGGGAGGCGTTAGTACACAGACAACACAGAACAGCCCTCGTGTCCTTGCAAAGGATGTGGGTCCTCACAGCGGCCACAAAGTTTGTGAAGCACAGTCTTGTAGGCATCATTAATCTCAGCCTAATTAGGGCTCCTTGGTTTACTTCGCAAAGCTGGTTAAATCAAAGCGGTGCAATCAGCTCAGGGTGAAACCCGCCTGGCTGAGGTAAACCTCTGCCGAATGTGAAGCCAGACAGAGCGATCTTCGTCTGGGGAGCTCCCCTCAGGGGTTTCCACTGTTGGCATGGAGCTGCTCCAGGGAGGAGAGGTGGACAGCGTGATGTCTGGGGAGTTGGCTTCTCTGAGCACAAAGTGATTGAACTTCTGAGTTGCCTCATGCAGTAATGAAAGATGGCTAAATTGTTGAAAAGCACAGCTCCGTGCTGATGTAAACTATAGTGCGTGACTTGTCCTTGGCCAGCTGTTGCAGGCTTCTTTTCTTGCTTCTTGCTCTGGAGATCTACCACTGGTCTGACAGCCAACTGTGAGTAATTTTTTTAAGACTTGCTGTTGGTTCACTAATATCCAGGGTTTTGTTTTCTTTTTTTTCTTAGTTTGAGAGACTATGGTAGGAGTTACACGTTATCAATGGTTATAACTAGCTCCAGTTACTCATATTACCGCGAGTTTTAACACATGCACCAGAAGTTATTCTCCACAGTTCATATTTTCCTTGCTGTATTTTGTGTTGAGCAAGAGGATTATTTGTGTTGTGTTACAGGTCTTGTACTTATGAGGTCTGGCAGTTTAAGGACCACAATCTTAAATTCCACTGGGCATCTAGTGAATTCTTCTAGTCCTCTAGGGAAATAGTGTCTGGGTTTAGAAATTTTAAGGCAGAGTGTTTAAAGAGTTATCTAAATAGGAAGTAACTTGAAATTCAAAACCAGGTATTTATTATCACAGTCCTTTTTAAGTAACATTCATTACCATCAAGGAGGTTTATAGAAAGTCAATATTTGTTACATTTTCCCTTTCTTAATAGTTCTATAGGAAAACAAAGTATTTGGGAGATCTGATACATTCCTGACATGTGTGTTTGCTGGGTATGGAGTAAAGTAATAAATAGTGAGAAAATAATAGTTCTGGAAACTTAATCTGTTATGTTGAATGGATTTGAGCAAAAGTTGTACTGTACTAGGTAACAGTTTGTTGTTCAGTGCTGTAGATGAAGAAGGCATTGGTGCAGTTGTCACCAAAGCTCCATCCACCTGGTTTTTGTTTACAGGAATTGAGTAAATATGATATATGTGCCTGCTGCATATTTCTTGCACACCCAAAATGCCGAGTGAATTGGTGGAAGGAAGGCTTTGTTGTACCAGGGATGCAGGAATGAGCTTTGTAAATGTGATGCTCTGAAAAGTTTCAGAAAGTTCTCCTGAGATGTGAAAAAACCCCAAACCCAAACAACCAAACAGCTTGGTCAAGTGTTAAAGAAAACTTATACATTGACCTGTGTTGTGGTGAAAATCTTTGACATCTGCCTGAGATTTTTCTTCTGGTTTCTGTCATTCCCCACTCTTTCGTAGCCCTTAGATGCTGTTATTAAGCTTGATGACTAAAGGTGGGTAACGTGACCACCTGTCAGTCTTCAGGAGGATGGAAAGACTGCTGTCCACTTCAGACACAGGATGACTGAGTGGTGAAAACCACAGCCTGTCAACTCATTTCTCTGCTGTGGAAATGTTTGCAGTTGTATTAGTGCTACCCAGGCCTGTTGCTTGGCGTGCTCTAGGGCATGGACATGACAGTTGGCTCTGCTCCGTGAAAGAGAAGTTGGGAGCTATTTGAATTGCTCTCCTGAGGTCTGCTGGTGCATTTTTGAAAGACGGTTGTAGCACATGTGCCATTTTTCCCTTGGGTTGTTTTGACACTTTCAGTCTTGTTCCACTATTCTTGCCCTCTGCTGTTTTTCAGGTACAAAAACTGCTCTGTATGTGTCCAGTGGATTTCCATGGGATTTTCCAGTTAGATGAACGTCGCAGAGATGCTGTTATTGCTTTAGGAATCTTTCTAATTGAATCTGACCTTCAGGTACTTTTCCAGCTTTGGCTAACTATTTAATTTGGAAGAGTTTGAATTAATTCAAGTTTAGTTGTTCAATGAATGAAAAGTTGATATTTACTCTTCATAAAAATAAATAAAAATATCAGAGATAATAGATGGATGTAGGCAGGAGAGCACAAGGAAACGAGGACAGCACTGATTAGCATGATAGCCAGTAGTTGTGGTTTTGGTCATCACAGCTTCAGGAGAGAAAGGAAAGGCTATTCAGGAGGATTTGCTCAAACCTTCTGTGTTGTTGCATGTTCTTCCCCACACGTTTCTGAGTGGCAGGTATGATCTACCATACTGCTGAATGCCAGGTTTGTAATAGGCCTTCTCATGCCTCCAGTAACCAGGATGAAAAGACAAGCAGGGCACATAGGCTGTGTTGTATATGAACATCCCTTTTGTCAGCCTGTTCATGACAAGCTGGTTCTCTTCCCTTCGAACTCGGGGCGTGGTGTTGTTTTGTGCAGAGGAGAGGAAGGATATAGCAAGTCCTAGGTCCAAAGTCACTAAACGTCACTTTAAGTCATTTAATGTTGCTAAGGTTTGCATCAGGCATTAATTTCCTCTGATTACTCTGTTAATTAATAGTATCTGTTTACTCTGATACAGCTTGCATGCATATTATTAAAGTTGGCCTTTTTGCATTTTTTGTAGTATGAAGTTTGTAGAAGGCAACTGAATTCGTGTTTCTTACCATTTTTATGTGTTTTTTCATAGTCAGCAGCTAGTATTAATTAATTCAACTTTATGGGGAAGGAAAGTGCTATCCTTTGATTTGCAGATTAGGAAGCTGAAGTGTTACCCAGATGTGTTAAGTGACTTACATAAGGGATGGAGCACGTGTACTGAATTGAGACAGGCACTCTGCATTTCGAGCTGCCTTGAAATTATTTGGTGACCTTGCTGTAAACTAATAAATTATCTGGGGCTAATTACTGTTTCGGAACTTTTTAAATCCAACTCTTACACAGAATGAACTCTTGCCTAGAATGAAAGGATTTGATTTATAGAACTGTGTTGGTTTACTTTGATTCGCCTGTGTTGAAATCAGTTTTGCAATATTCAAAAAGCCTGTGAAGTAATCATTAGAAGTGAGTTGGTTATATGGTTACTGCAGTCTCTCCATATCTGTAAAATATCTTGAGATGATATGGATCAACTTTTCTGCTCCACTTTAAACAGAGTATTTTCCTCTTTAGCACAAAGATAATGTGGTTCCTTACCTCCTCCGACTTCTGAAGGGTCTTCCTAAGGTCCAGTGGATAGAAGAAAGCAATGCACGGAAAAGCAGAGGTGATGTTTGAGTTTTTTGGTAATTCTCATGGAATGCCAGCAGGGAAACGAAAACAACAAAGGTTATTTAGACATGATGCAAGGGGAGTTGATAGGTCCTGCTTGGTTCCTAGCTCCTGACTCACCCGCCTGTAATACTGATTTTCTTTAGAAGCAAAGAGGAAGCTGAATAGCTCTCAGCTTTCTTGCTTGACTTCTTTGTGATCAATTGCTCTTTGCAAATAATTCTACTCTCAATGTATTTTGTTACTAAACTGGAGAAGATTGTGTGGTAGTTAGAGTAGGAGAGTGGAACCCAAGATCCATATGCTCTACTTTTAGCTTTGATGCTTAGTTGCTATTTAAACCACTTTGTTTCTTGCTGCCTGAATAGCTCTTAAAATTAATATAAGAATACCTTTATATATTATGATATTATTTTCACTTATTTGAAAGCCTGGGAAAGTTTTTAATTATGAAAATTATTGTTTTAACATTTCATGCTGAAATTATGATGGTTAGAGTAAAACTGTATGTAATGCTCTATTTTTTTACAGTCTGGCACAGAACTGAATGACATGGGAATCACCTATGTCTTCTTGCTTCATTATTTTCTCTTTCTAAGTTGGTTCTCTCTAACAATGCCTAACTGGCTTATTTTGTGCCTGTTACTTTGCAGGCTTGCTTCCAGTTGCAGAAAACTTCAGCTTCTGCTTGGTAACGTTGTTATCAGACGTTGCTTACAGGGATGCGTCTCTCAGAGAGCAGGTAGAGTTTATTTTGAGTTTGTGCTGATGTAGTACCCAGTTCTCCAATGCTGCAGTACTGACAGACGTCTAGAGAGCAGTATGCCACAGCTGCTTCCTTTCTTGCAAAAGAACTGATTGCTTTAGTGTGTATTGTTGCATTATTTTGCTTGTGTTAATTAATAGTCAAGTATCTAGAAGGTGTTCGTAGGTCTGCTGTTACATTTGGCTGTCAAAGGATGTCTGTCACTGAGCCCAGAGTTTTAGAAATGAAGTTTTGATGCTGAGATTAGGACTGCTGCAGTGTTTTTCTGCTAATACATACCAGTTAACTGCAGACTTCACCAAAGAAGCTCCATAAGCCGAGTGAGCGCAATTTACTTTTTTCAGTCATGCAGCATTAAAAAAAAATCTTGTTTACAGAGGTGCTTATGTTAATATTGGCAAGCTTCATTTGTTGCAGTAATCTAGTATAAGATAATGATATCTCTTTATCAAAAGATATTTTTGTATGTCTGTCTTGATTACTTTAGATTTTGGATGCAATTCTACAAGTAATGCAGTTCCTGTTGGGAATGTGCCAGACTCCGCAAATGCATGATAAAGGTACTGTGAAAATCGGTACTGTATTTGTAATTCCTGTCCTCTGAACTTCTCTTATTTTCTTCTAACTATCAAGATAACTCCTGGAAAGTGAGCAGCTTTTTCTGTTGACTGTTGCTAATATATTAGCACATATTTATTGTTTGTAGCTGATAGGTGAATACGGAAGCAGGAGAAGTATTAATTTGTGATACCTTCATGGTTTTCCCTCTACTTGCACAAATAAGTCTTTGTAAAGCACATTAGGCTGACACAGTTTAGTGAAGCGTTAGCAAAACTGTGAAATGGAAGTTCTAAGTTATTGTTAATGTATTGTTTTATGTGTTTTTCTTTTCCAGAATATTTATGCAAGTATGCGGTACCCTGCCTGATAGGAATTTCTCGAGCCTTTGGTCGCTACAGCAATTCAGAGGAAGCTCTCCTTTCAAAGCTTTTTCCAAAAATTCCCCCACATTCCCTGAGAGTTCCAGAAGAGCTCGAAGGAATTCGCAGACGATCCTTTAATGATTTCAGATCAATTCTTCCCAGTTCTCTACTCACTGTTTGCCAAGAAGGAACACTAAAGAGAAAGGCCAGCAGTGTATCTAGCATCTCACAGGTTTGTATGACTCAGTGCTTAGATGATTTTGTGGTCTTGGTGGAGTTAAGGCAGCATTAAACCTGGATGTGCAGACAGCCTCTTAACACATTGTTTGACCAGATACAGAGAGATCTTTATTTTGGTTTCACAACTGAGTTACAAAATAATTTCGGAACAATTGGCAAATCCTATTCCTTGTGGTATTCTCATAAAAAGCATTGTAATGTATATCTGCAAATTTGGGAAGCTGGCACTTAATGGCTCAAATTTTCAAAAGTGCTGAGGGTGCATGAGCTCTCACTGGTTTCACGTGGAGCTGTGAATGTTCGTTGTCTTAGAGGAAGAATGGGTTCAGATGTCTGCTTTGTTAGTAGCACAGTTTCATACAGTACAGGAGTCATCTTTCTGATCTCTTCCTGTTAGTCAAAGGCAGTGAACTAGCTTTTTTTAACTTCCCGTATTTGGTTGGAATCGAGCAGTTAGGACTGGCAATATGTAGTTCCTGTCAGTTTTGCTTGAAGCTGT